GGGGGGGGGGGGGGGGGGTGACATCCCCCTGAAAACGTCTTTTCGGCAAAATAAAGGTTTTATCGACAAATAGGCCGTGGGCTGCAATTTCGTGGCATCCACCTGGGAAATAGATTTTCTGTTGTTCAATTCATAGAACCATAGATGCTTAATTACCACAAAAAGTTCCCAAGCAAAAAACTTGCCCAACACCGAGAAAATGGGTGATCAGTGATTATTCTCTATTAAATTGTATACAGTGTTTATCCTCTATATAATTGTATTCAATTACAACAAAAATTACTTGCATTTTCAGAAAGCTTACAAAAACCGACATATGAGACATTTAAACAGTTTTTTTATATCTAAAATTGTTTTCAAGTTATACGCTGTCAAAAACGCGTTTTTGACCTAGTACCCAGTCCTTATTACGACATTTTGGTCCAATTTTCACATTTAAAACAGCAATAACTCAAAGACTATTTCAAAAATCAAAAAACTGTTTAAAAGTCTTATATGCGATATTTTGTACGCTTTCCAATAATGCAAGTCATTGATCAATCAGGATAATCATTGATCAACCATTTTCTCGGGATTGGGCAACTTTTTTGCTTGGGAACTTTTTTTGGTAGTGATGTACCTATATGCCTTTCAAATAAACCCCAAACCAAGTATTTCCCACACGGGTGCCACGAAGCGAAATAATTTTGGCCAAAAGCCCACGACCTAAAATCATTTCCGTAAGCAGCGAAAATTTTAGAGTGGTTGGAATAGTTTTAGCAAAAATTTAGCTAAATTCACCAAAATTACGGAAAAAGCTAACAAATTATGATATTTCGGGAAAATTTTTTGTATGTCCGGAAAAATTATGCTATGTCCGGTAAAATTTTTGTTTGTCGTGAAAAAAATTTTCTTATTAATTAGTTATAGCGAATGAAATGTTGTCGGCGATATTACACCCCGCCCTTCTTTATCTCCTTCACTACGGCCCCGTTTGTATGTGTGTATCCAACGTATTAATACGAAAAAGTCTGGCATTAATGGACATTGCAACATATCATATTGATTAAATTAAGTGAAATTTGGATGAAAATTGGATTAGAAATTAGCAAAATTGTGATTAGAGCTTGCAATTGACAACTGTCCTCTGTAGCTCAGTTAGTTAGACTAGGGCTGCACCGGAATCGAAGGGCCGCAGGTACGATCCCTGCCTGCATGAGAACCTATATAGTTGCATTTCTCGCAACTGCTCCTGATTAGGTCTAATAAATTTATAAAATTCACATTCGAAATTTCCATCCACAAAATCCTTCTACAATCAGTTATATCGAGTGAAGATTCCCCAAATCCTGAGAAATCCTGTGTAATTAATCCTGTGTAATGCTTGTGATTTTACTCTGAGTGTATATCCACACCGGGTAAGCTTGCAAAATATGCCTGACCACGGTGAGAATCGAACCTACGACCTTTGGAATACTAGCCCAATGCTCTGTCTACTGAGCTACGCGGTCAGGTCGGTTCGAGTATGAGATATTTTGGAACCGAGTCTAGTTCCTTCGATATCTATATAATACAGATACAGATATTTCGCAGCACACTCCCTATCAGGGATTTTCAGTGACTGGTTACATTATGAATAGATAGATAGAACCGGACTGACGTGAAGCAGACCGAAGTAGACTTTGAGCTTACAAATGGCGCTTGAGCAGCCGCTATTAGTCCATAGCTCATTAATGATCTGCCTCAGACCAAATATAATCTAATAATCATGAATTTTTCTGTGTTGGTGTAGTGTACTCAGGTGAATATGATGTTTGTGATGTTATTATGAGTGTATATCCACACCGGGCAAGCTTGAAAATATGCCTGTCCAGGAATCGAACCTACGACCTTTGGAATACTAGCCCAATGCTCTGCCAACTGAGCTACGCGGTCAGGTCGGTTCGAGTATGCCGCGATATTTCGGAACCGAGTCTAGTTCCTTCGAAAATCAATGTAGTCTAATAATCATGAATTTTTCTGTGTTGGTGTAGTAAGTACGTGTACTCAGGTAATTAATCCTGTGAAATTAATCCTACAAAACCTTTCACAATTAGTTCTATCGAGTTCATGAGATGCCATAAATCCTAACATTTTCACAAATCTTTTATGTACTGTAAAATAATCGAACTTCGGCTTGACACACGTACCTTACACACCCCTTCCAAAATTCGAAGTGCTTCCAACGAATATACAGAGGCAAAACCTTGCAGCCAAGGGTGTTAGTAGCGTCAAGGCGGTCGTCCAAAACACACCAAAATAATAAATTCGTTTAGTGCCATACTTTGCAGCTATCCAGCCTCCAGGCAGTTGAGTGAAAATATAGCCGTAGAAGAATGATCCTAAAATTATCCCTGTCAAAAACAATTGTAAATTTATCACAGTAGAAACTCGCTTAACTCGAACTCCCCTCTCACTCGAACGAAATCCAATTCGTTTCCCCTGGATTTGACCTAAATTTTACAGTCATTTAATGTTTACTTCGGTTCACTCGAACTCGCTTAACTCGAACTCCTTGCTATAACTCAAAGAAATTTCATTTTCGCTTGCTCAAATTTACCCGGTTAACTTGAACTGGCTTTTGAGACGTGGATCGGCAAAGCATAAAATGTGAGAACATAGCATTGACAAGTCGAAAGCCTAGATTTCTATTCAGACAACAACAATTTAATCTGTATATACAATGCATACAAACGTAATACAAGTCCATAAAGAGATAAAAGGTTCAAGAAGTTGCGTCGATCATTGCTGAACGGTGCGTTTATATAGGTGCTGCTGGTAGGTATTGTACTGTTAAACACGCTGATATATAGGGACTGTTTAACTTATTATGTAACAGCAGTACAGACTTTGTAAGTTATTTAAAGAGTGCATCGTAATGGTTCACAATTGTGAAGAATAAATAAAACGACTATCACCTGTATTCTAAAAGAGTACTCACACTCAAAGAGTGACACCTCTTTCTCAGTAAGTGCATGTAACTCAGTACTCAACGAGTCTGTAATAACTGTCAATGAATGGGAAACGACACTCGCCCTCGGACCATTCACTAACGGCACTCACCCTCTCGAAATAGAAGTCGAGTTTAAGTGAACTTTGAGCGTAGGGTATACTATATACCTCCCTTGAACCATACTCATGTGAAGTAGTGAGGAACAACATGGCGAATGTATAGCTCAACAGATTACAACATTTCGACAATATTCCACCCAATAATAGAAACTGAGATAGAATTTACAATTTCAACTATGAAATGTACGAGGAGCAATTTTGAATCAGATTTAGATTAACAAAGGTCAAAGGATGGCTTTCGGGAGATCTTAAACATAATAGGGTCAGCTATATGTGGTCATAATGAACGAGGTAATCCAATTCCTGCGGACATAAAGCTTTGTTGACATTACGTTATTATGCAACTGGTATACGTTTCAGCTGGCATGTAGAGGAGATCTCTGTGACATATCTCAACCGTATGCAAGTCGAATTATTAAACAATAATTAAAATTCAATTTCTCGCGGCTGATTTGCTACCACAAATGAAACTTGACTTCTGGAGAATATGCACATTTCCGAACGTTGTTAGGATGATTGACGTACTGTACGCACATAAAAATGTCACCCTATAGGAGATGAAAACGCAGAACGCAAAATCAATGTTCAAGCAGTTTACAGTATATTCGTTCGGTACCACAAAATCTCTTACCAGCTTCGTAATTATCATCGTCAAAAGCATTGTCCAGGCTAGTCATTTGATCTGAAATTATTGAAACAACGGCTTCTGTTCCTTCGTCTCCTTCCAGTGAGACCGTACCACCACCATTATAGTTTAGCTTCTCTCTTTTGTTTGACGATATATTGCTCGAGACTTGCTCGACACTTGATATTTTCCCAGCATTTATTTATTTGTTTAGAATCACGCTTACCTGCACCCACCTGCGAATTAAACTCTTCTGTTAACGTTTTCCAAGCGCTATTTTTTTGTTTAATCATTTTGTAATTATTCCTTTTATTCTCAAGGACATCCTCGTGCTTAGCAACAAAGGCCTGTATTCTAAAAGCTCACTTATGCTCAGACTCAAAGAGTGGAGGTTCAATCTGAGCTTCCCTTGAGTGTCATGCAATGCTGTTTTTGAATAGCTAAAGAGTTAGTATCGTACCTTACTCTGTGACTACTCACCCTCCAGCTATTCAAAGACAGCATTGCATGACACTCAAGGAAAGCTCAGATTGAACCTCCACTCTTTGAGTGTGAGCGTGAGTGGGCTTTTAGAATACCGGCATAATTATCTGATGATATGATTGACTTCTCCATTTCTGAAAAATACTGCTTGGGTTGGGAAACTTGCACGTCTGTACTTTATGTGTAATGTACTAATATGTCAAAATATACGTCTTTCCTCCGTACTCATTAATAACAAAGGCGAGTGCAACACCGGTAAGTGACAGTTGAGTGCGCTTGGTGAATACAAATCAAGCAACATTTTTCGAGTGTGAGTGTTCGCTCAATGAATACAACAATTAATCCACTTTCACTCCACTCAAACTCACACTTGAACCCACTTGAGTGCTCCTCACTGGAATGCCACTCAAGTGTGAGTGTGCTTTTAGAATACAAACGTATACCTTATTAATTATTAACATCATGATAAAGGCCGGCGCACACTAGAGCTATGTGCTTAGCAAAATGTCATTCGTGACTGTTGGCGTAAGGAGATGGCTCTCGTGTGCGGGCGATTTAAGAACGACTTTTGTCATTCGTGCCACTTACGCCAAATATCTAACATGTTTGATAATTTCTGCCTTGCGTGTCAAAATCTTTCTGTGTGCGGCGAACGAAAGCTATCTGCTTACGGATTCAACATCCAAGATGGCGGCGCAAAATAAATTGCTGGCTGAGGCAATTTTAGAGGACAAACTTGTCGTGATAATGCTGTTCCAATAACTTGTCTACAAGATATGTTCTCAACGGGCTTGTAGCAAGCTTGTTAACAAGTTGTGTCAATGCTGTTCCAAAAGCAAGCTTGTAGACAAGTTGTTGGAACAGCATTATCACGACAAGTTTGTCTTCTAAAATTGCCTCAACCAGCAATTTATTTTGCGCCGCCATCTTGGATGTTTACTTTCGTATACTACGCATGCGCTGTTACGACAATCCGTCAGCAGATAGCTTTCGTTCGCCGCACACGGAAAGATTTTGGCACGCGAGGCAGAAATTATCAAACATGTTAGATATTTGGCGTAAGTGGCACGAATGACAAAAGTCGTTCGTAAATCGCCCGCACACGAGAGCTACAGTCTTGGTGGTGATCAATGGTGTTTGGAAATTGGTATTTAAACGTTTTAGTTCTAAGTTTATACCGCTAAATAACATATATTCCAGTAGCAAAGCATATGTGGGCAAAGTTTTGGTAGTTTAGATACTATCCATCCATTCCGGGGGGAGGGGTTACTTTTAACACTGTATATACCAATATAGGTACGTGTGCTACTAGCTATAATGCTTAATAAGCACGTTTATATTCACGTCTAATATCATCATCGCTATCTTCCTTTTGAAAAATCCGCGGAAATTTACTCAAAAGTTACATGCTGTCTTTGGAATGATGCAAAAGGCCATAATTACGACGAACCTGGAACCGAACTATTCAGAAATAATCTGTTTGTGAGTCGAGTAGGTTTAAATCTCATCTCACAACATATCAAACTGCGGGAAAAGACAAATAAATATGCATTGTTTTCGCCTTTTGCAACTTATACTTGAGAACTGGGGCCATTTCCAAGCTAAAATTCATTTGCAGTATAAGATTTACAGCACAGTTCATAAAGCAGACAGTAGTCAAATTTCATACGTCTCAAATTACACGATGCTCACGAAGGCAAGCCTCACATATCGATTTTTTCCACGAGAAACGTCATATGTTCGTTTGGGGGTGGGGGGGGGTTGGCAGCTGTGACGTTTCTCTGTAAACATCATGGAAAAAATCGATAGTTTTTATCTTTGCAGAGTATAAAAAGAAAACAATTTGATACAAACAGCAGTCTATATTCGTAATACCATACCTGTTCTATACCTATACATTTATATTATTACGCCTTCTTTGCATTTGAAAACACTCAAATTTCAAGAAATACGCGCTATATTTCATGGAAAAAAAGTTGTTTTGAGAAACGTTGGAAATTTTGAAGTTCACATATATATTAATAAAAAAAGAGTATGTCAGCAGAAGATGACATATTCCTCGCGGAAGCATCGCCAATAGCCGACCGAAAAAATATTAGAAAATTACCTTATGTGTACTATATTGAACAAAATATCGATAACTATGTGTGACGTTTCTAAGGGAGGGTGGGGGGGGGGGTCTCAAGAGAAACGAACATATGACGTTTCTCATGGACAAAATCGATATGTGAGGCTTCCCTAACGATTCTCGGTCTAAAACGCTGATTCGCGTTACTATAAATTTTACTTATCTAACATTTTACATCCATATGGGAACAAGAAACCAGTATCCTTAATTACGATCGGTTAACCTTGCAGATATCCCTTTTTAAGTTCGTTTTTGAACGAAGCTCACTACAAAACTGTAAATAAATCTATATCTCATTGGCTATTTTAGGACACAAAGTGAGAATCCGGGCTTACGGATCGAAAGCTTTGCAGTAATAAATTTACGTGGTGTTTCCACAAACAAAAACAATTATATTTTATCGCCATGCTAACATTCAAAGAACTTAAAGTGAGAATCGTTGCTAGAAAATCATTCTATCTTAGTGAGTTCCTTACGAAAACTTGTAAAATCGTGCTATCTTGTAAAATATGTTGGACTTTAAATGACTACGGGGAATTTGTTTGACATTGTCTGCTATTAAGGCTTTTATGGCTTTTTTGGTGAGATTCGTGGTGAGATTCGTTTCTATATTCATCTCATTGTCACATATACGCGCTTAGTTATGCTAACAAGATGGCTCAGTTGTCAATTTTCTTTAAATAGAGTCCCAATACCGTTACCATGCATGGAATTCAATGAATTGTGACTAAAATGTGGCATTACAAGACTTTAAATCTGATTTTAAATATACGCGATTTTGCAGCCGGATTTTAGCTATTTCCTAACACACGCATACGCAAACATTGTATAACACAGTACACGAAAATTATCCGTGTGCAACGAAATTGCTAAAGGACCTAACAGAGGTGAAGAAATTGTGAAAATATAACTGCGTACACAGCTTGATGATGTCTACAAGTTGAATTAAGTTAAGTTTAAGAGTAATGGCATTACTTCAACAGACAATCTTTGACAATATAGATTGGGACAATCTAGTTTTCACATGCATTCGGTTGTAATATACCATTTCCTGATACATATTTTCCACCCTCCCTCCCCCCCCCCACCCGTTTCAATGTTGGCGCCGCGCATCCAGACATCAGATTTTTGTTGGCCCAACATTGAACTGGGGGAACGGGGGCGCTATTCTTTTGGAATTATATGAAATTACAGCAGCTGGTCCATAGTTTCTGGCAAAGATTGTATCTCCTTACGCCAACAGTCACGAATGACATTTTGCTAAGCACATAGCTGTAGTGTGCGCCGGGATTAAACGAAATCAAACTGCCATAGGCGTACAGGACGGGGGGGGGCGGGGGTGGGCGGTAGCCCCCCCCCCCAGTTTTTTGGGCAGTCGGGCAATATTCGATCAACAGTCGGGCAATTTTGGTTTGTAATAAAAAAAATTGGGACAAATTATGTAAATTTAGTCGAAATTTCAGTCAATTTTGTTGCAAATTTTGTTTTTTTTGAAAATTTGTGTGATGTTCCGAAAAATTTTGGTATGTACGGAAAATTTTTTGACCCCTAAAATGGTACACTGACCGAAATGTTTTTGGCGTGGGGGGGAGGTCGCCGAAATAATTTTTCCGGAAAATTTTTTTTAGGTACTAGTGGGGCACAATCCCGAAAAGTCGGGCAAATTCTTTCCGCGCCCCTGATTTTTTCCATCCGGTACGCCCATGCAAACTGCGACCCTGTTAACTCGAACGCCCGCTAATTAGAACAATTTTTCACTTCCCTTGGGAGTTCGAGTTAATTCGACTTTTTCAATCTCCGCGTATTTTCCGATGAAATGTGTTCAAAAACTAATTGAAATCGTTTTAGTGTTCCTCTCAAAATTAGTTTGTTTTAGCTTTATTTTGTAGTTTACATAGTTAGCAACCTTTTTAAATGTATCTGGCTGTTGAGAAACATAAAATAATAGTTAAATATTGCCAATTTACATACAATCTCAATTGTTGCTCTAAAATTGACGCCATATTTGTATAGCAATATAAGCAAAACTTACAGAACTTCAGACATCATTTTCTCTTTGGAGTACCATCTAAAATCAAGGCCGGCGAAAGGCAACCACGGGCCCCGGGACAAATTGGTTAACACGGGTCCCCTGTCCCTCTTGACTCATGACGCTGATGGCCACACCAAAGTCTATTTTTTAATCGTAGTCAATGAGAGAATCGCCAGCTAGCAAATTACTTGCAAGAAATCGCCGCAGAATTTCGGTGGCGATAGCACGTGTTGCGTGCATGCATGTTACCGTACCAGCGGATGGACGTAATAAGTTTGTTCAATACAGGTAAATACCTCATTTCATCTTATAACTAATAAAGACTCGATGTAAACGATGTTTCGCTAACTTTTTTTTCAGAAAGAAACGATCGAAAAATCGTTATTTTCACATTTCACGATCGATCACGACGATCAGCGGATAGTGTGCAAGTAGGCGTATTTCATTTAGGAGAAACATAAAGCGTTGATAAACGATACAAAGATTTAACCGAGATTTCCGGGCCCCTTTGAACATTCCGTGCCCCGGCTATTTTGCCCCCCCCCCCTGCCCCCTCTCGCCGGCTTTGTCTAAAATCTCTTCATTTTAGGATTATTTACAGAAAAAAATACTAAGTATTCAGAAAAATACTAAGTTTGTTTGCCGCTCGAGAAATGTATAAAAGTTTAAAAAGTTAATATAGACATAGCCAAGTGGAAAAGTATTTTCATTTAGTTTAATTTGAGCGCGTGTTACGTAACATACAAAAGATTCTCCTCTGAATCTATTTGTAATCTTATTTGTACTTTTGACGTTGTAATTTATTTTGAATTTCTATTTGATTATTCAAGGACCGTACACTTATAAACGAAATTATCTTGTCAAAGAAAAAAATATTCGGTATCGACTGGTTCATAACATGCCTTGGGTATCTTGATGCCATTGAAAGGTCCCGTCTTCACTGTACAAATGCAAATGTTAAGAATGTATATTATTAAGGTGGCTCCCTATAGTTTTATCGTTGTGGCGCACACCTGTGCTTTTAGGCCCATTATGTCCTCAGTTTGCATATGTAAGGAAGGCATATTAACATTAACATTTATTTTGCGCAAATTTACATGTGGATATCATCAAATGCGCTTTATACGTTTATAAGTATCATACGCTTACCTAATTACAGGCTCAGCCCAGACTATTTTATCTTCATAAAATAATTGTGATATTATTTTCTTAACTGTGCAAGTTCAGTGGCGTAGCCAGCCCAACGATTTAGTCCCGCTATGCGAATTTCAACTCATCATTATTTCTTCCTTTGGGATTTATTGTGTCGATAGGTTATAAACCTGGCAATATTTGCATAGCGGTACTAGATCGTCGGGCTGGCTACGCCACTGTGCGTGTTTATCCTTATATACCCACCCTGTCAACTTCCCCTGTGGGAGGAAACCCACCCTGTCAACTTTCCCTGTGGGAGGAAACCCATCCTGTCAACTTTCCCTGTGGGAGGAAACCCACCCTGTCAACTTTCCCTGTGGGAGGAAACCCACCCTGTCAACTTTCCCTGTGGGAGGAAACCCATCCTGTCAACTTCCCCTGTGGGAGGAAACCCATCCTGTCAACTTCCCCTGTGGGAGGAAACCCATCCTGTCAACTTTCCCTGTGGGAGGAAACCCATCCTGTCAACTTCCCCTGTGGGAGGAAACCGGAGCACCCGGACAAAAACCCACGACTTTCGGCGGAACGTTAACTGACTCTTTTCAGACGAGTCCGTAGCGAGAATCCAAGCCACCATCTCAGAGGTGAAAGTCG